CAGGGCAAATATATGGTCAGAGGTGATTCAACCGGCACAGAAGCCATGCCGATTTTCATATATATTGGAATCAGTTATTCCGGCGCACCTTCTTTCTAGCACCTTTGTGTAGTCTTATTCTGGGTGGTTCAGTAACGTAATGCCCATATAATTAGAGCACTCCTTGTGGTCTCCCTTCTTCAATACGGGTACAATAACACTCGTTCTCCAGTCCGCTGGTGTCTTTTCCGCAGTCATCGCAGTTTGACAGACACGCGCATGCCGGCACATGCCTTGTTCGCCTAATCCCTTGAGCACTTCAGGGCGGATTTCATCAATTCCAGCAGGCTTTCCACATTTCAAGGTTTAGACAGCTTGGATAGTTTCATCTACAGAGATAGTAATATCCGTTCCCTGCTGCCTTACGGGCGATTTTTCCTGCAGTTGCTCGGGGTCAAGGAATTTCTCAAAGTACTCCCTCCATCGCCGAAGAATATCATCATCCGTGGTAAAGGATGTCCAGACCTGTCCTTCAAGATTCTGAGGCTGCAAGTTTTTCACCTCGGAGCCGGCGGATGGTCTGCCATATACCTCGTTTGCCGTGTGGAAATTCGATTCCAACACGTCATCGAACTTCTCCCAGGAATCAGGTTTGGGACGTTTGTTTTCTTCGCCGCCTTGGGTGCCTCGACATATCGCACACGAGTTAAAAGCTTTTTGATTCCAAACCATTTCTTGGACGCTGCTTTCTTCTCTTTAGCTGCCAGTTTTACCTCTTGTGCCCACCAGGAAAATTTTTCTGACCTCCATGCGGCAGGTCACCCGTTTAAATCCGCAGCATTCGCCGGCCGCTCGAGCGTGGCACTCGGTTTCGACGTCACTTTCGATCGCCGACTTTTCGCAGTCTGCCTCAGTCCCCCAACAGCCTGCGCGGCCCTTGGTAACCCGGGCGACCCGCAGTCTGCCTCAGTCCCCAACAGCCTGCGCGGCCCTTGGTAACCCGGGCGACGACCGAGCCGGTATAATTTTAGATGTCGTCAATGCCATGAATAGCAGGTGGCGAACTTTTACAAAGATTTCGGTACGATCTCCAACCCTCCTCCTTTCTCAGTCGGGCCTGGTGCCGGCAGCGGCATAGTTTTCCTTGGTGGTAGACGCAACATGATGTCGCATTCCACGATGTTTGGAGGAGCCGTATTGGCTGTTGATGAAGCTATGAAAGTTGAAAGGTTTGATAACGAGGGATACATGTTTGACTGATGTGTTGGGATTTTCGGTAGCGAAAACGTATCTTTGCAGATAT